GGGTGAAATTACAGAGTTTTTTTACTGCCCTTTGACATTACAGGCTACCGTACGTAAATAAAAGGTTATTTTCATTTAAGTTGAAAAAAAAAAGAAAAGTAAACATTACTTTTTGAAAATCCAATTAATTATTCCTTAAATTTATTAATAGACTTACATCTCTAGGACAAATAATGGATTTTAAAAAGATTTTTAAATTCGTTTACAATATACATGTTTTTTCGTTATAGCCGAATAGCGTTCAATGAGTCACGAAAAAACGCGCCAATGTTTTAAAAATGCCTAAAAAGTTGATTTTTATATGGAAATCATTTTTTTCTTTCAATTCGTGTTTGCTGATCTTTATAGCCAAAATTTAAGTTCATAACTTATTTAAAATGAGTTTGTCGGTTTGTTTTTTTTTTTTTTAGAAAGTCCGTGGCGGTGCCTATTTTTTTCAGTTGTAAGCAAAATGGGTGTTTTCTTGTTTTAATTAGTTTAATTAAAATTAGATGATTTCAATTTATCATTTATTTATTTAAAATAAAATGCCTTCGTTCATAGCAGAATTAATGTTCATAAATTAATAATCTGTAAAAAAATGTTTCTGAAAAGAAAAGTTTTCCGTTCAACAAAAAAAATTAAAAAAAAATGAATCAATTCACACATAAATTTAAAATTCAAATGAAAATAATAAACGGATTTTTTTTTATAAGGAGAGGAAAATACACTGTCAAAAATCGGACAGTTTTATTTTAAACTTTTATTTAAAATAAAAGTAAATAATCCTAAACCCACGGTTGACGTTCACTGCGGAATGGCAGTTTTAAAATAAACGTTTTTATTTTACAAAGATTTTCAATAAAAGTTATATACCTTTCATAAAATTAGGTGAGAAGAGAGATAATGTCCAGGATTAAAAAAAATTAATTAATCTTAACTTTTAAAATTAGTTATAGTTTGCCATATTTTTCTTTCTTAAAAAAATGAATTTTTAATTTAGCCGAAGATATAGCGACTGAAATGTACTTAAAAAAACACAAAAAAACAACAAAAAAAACATGATGATAGTAAACTAGAATGAATAATTCACGAAATAACAATAAAAAAATCATGCAATTTCAGAAAATGTCAATTTTATTATGTGATAATTCACAAGGAGAAACTGTTTGGTTTTTAACTACTCAGAATTAAAAAAAAACATTAATTCTGTAGATGACGGACAGTAATTTTTTTATCTTTCCAACTTCTCAGTCTCTAAGAAAACTTTTAAAAAAATATTAAATAATTATTATATTATACTTTGCTTTCTTTGTGTAGTTCAAGTTGCTTCCAAGTTTCAACCAGCGACTTCAAGAGATAAATTTGTTTTTTATATCAGATGCTAACTTAACAAACAAGGAACTATTCAATCTGAAAGAAATGTTCAGTTGTGGTCATGGTTACTGCACTGAGATGATGATGATGATGATGATTATTGTTGTTGTTGTTGTTGTTTCAATTAAAGTTACGGTAAAAGTATGCTTACTATAGACAATATTTTAGTGAGTTTCACACCAAAATCAAATAAAACGTATTTACTTACTGTCGCGATAAAGAAATTGTAGAGACGCAATAAAGAAAGAGAGAGACATAAGGGCACTTTGGCGTGGTGTGTGGTGTACAGTCTTCTTGTCTCAATTACATACGACTGAAATGAGTGAAAAAGTGAATTTGATCCTTACTGGTTACCCCATACTTTCAGCCTTGTGCCACATCTACTTAGAAAATCACCATAATTATTAAGGAAGGAACTAAAAAAAGAGGATACTGGAGTGTTTTTAAGTGACACTTGGTGATTTGCATCACATTTTTTTTACCATTTCTCTTGTAACGATGTTGTGCTTCACGTGTGGCCTGGATTGCGTAAAGAAAGACTAAATAATTTTATTAACCTCAAGATTTAATGGTACAACCACAATGAGACTGGTAATTCTTATAGAAAATTATGAAAAGAGAGAGAACCGAAAGCCGTCCAAATATAGAAGAATGAACTAGAAGCGGAAGGACAATAGAAAAATAACAATTGTCAATCGTTACGGAAGGAAAATATTGTAAATAAGAAGAATGATTTCTGGCGATGGCATAGTAGAGAAAGGTGAAACGTTCGGTTAGAGTTTTTGACTGCATCAGTTTTAAAAAAATAAATATTGTTTTTATCGACGTTACGACATTAAGAAAAATGCTAAGATTAAAATAAAATATCCAGAAAAAATATCAAAATAAATTTTTGATTGTTTGAAATGTGAGAATAAAGCAATTAAAAAATGTTTATCTTTGTTGAGAAATTCAAATTTTCAATGAATGACTGAACAGTGAACAGTAACACTAACAGTAACACTTTCGCGACCATTACTGACAGAAAAATAATGTTTAATACTTTCGTTTCTTTCACATCTTCTTGAAAATTACTGAAAAAATAAAATCTTAACGTTGTTTAAAGACCAACATCCCAAAATGGCAAAATTAAAAAAAAAAAACTTTCTGAAAATCGCGCGTAGTTTTGATGTGCATTAAAATGAAAAAAAAAAAAAAAAAAAATAGCGGCAATTTTATTTTGCTAAGTGAAAAATAGTTTCGATTTTTTAATGCAGATTTAGTCTTTTACAGTACTCTTTATTTTTTACTTTTTTTTTTTTTACAAACGTACTATATTGTGTCATCAGTGAATGAATCATGAAAAATAGTCAAGTTTCATAAACCACTTCGATGATTGATGAATTGAATAACAATATAAATAAAACCAGAATTTTTAAACTTTATTTTACCGGTGTTTAAATTTGTTTTCAGTTTTTTACTTTTTAGACAAACTTAAACACCATGAAAATCTTTCATTGAAAAAGAAAAGCATAACGAACGAACAACTTTTTGATTTCAACCGCACTTTTTTTCTTTCAAAACTTTAAATGACTCAAGATCAGGTAAATAACTAAAAAAAATGATTACAAACAAAAAGTATTTTTTTTAAAAAATAAAACGTGATCAGATAACGTTACACTGGGGATCTTTAGTTCTCTAGAATATTTTATTTTGATTGAAGATGCCAATATCCAACTGATCCTTAGCAAATGAAAATAAACAATCAAGATTTAAATTGGCAAGATAAACAAAAAGAAAGGGCATTAGAATTTAGATCCGAAATAAAAGAAAATAAACAATCACTTAAAAAATGCATCCAGTTCTTTCCATAACTCAACAATAACATTCAACAAGAACACCCGTTAAATAACTGACAGGAAAATTTGACTTTTATACACATATAATCTTTGATGATCCCCGAGTGTTAAGCGACACACAAATGTCCTTTTCAGCTCTAACTTTTAAATCTACCCATGTGCTAGTTAGAAAGTTCACGAATATTTCTCATGCTGGAGAGCAGGTTAAGGTAACAAAAGAAGACTAAGTGTCTAAGAGTGAAGTTTGTGTCAGTGAAGGATATTTGCTAGCCATTTTTTAAAACTAATGCAAAAACATTTATTGCAGAATTAAAAGAAGATACGTCACAACACTTATGTTTTATTTACGGATATAAAGAAAAATGATTTAAACTCAAGTCAAAAGAATAAATATTGCGCAAAGCTTGGAAATTAAAAAAAACAGAAAATTAATGAAGAGAAAGAAACATGACGACGGCGCAAAAAAGAAAAGAGAACAACTATTTCTTGATAATGAAAATATAATAGATGGCATCTGCTTTATTTATGTATTTGTATGTGACCTCTGGTCAAGGATAATATATGAGCAGAGGCAGCGACCACACCTAAAGAATTTAAACCAATGAACATCGGGAAATGGAACCGACCCCCAGCCACTACCCAGAAGAATGACACGTGACATGAACTGCTCACTGTTACACAGTAACTAATTGCTAGCATTTTAATAGAGCGAGTATTTTATAGGCAAAAAACTTTTAAAAAAATGTAGGTAGTAAAACAAAATAATCTAAAAAGGTTAACTGACCAATTTCCTCTGTTGTCATTTATGGCTACTCGTACAAACAAAACAACAAACTAAAAAACATGATGTAATCTAAATCAATACAACGTATTTGACACAACGTGGCACTAACAGCCACATACACATAGGGAATAAAATCATTGGTTAAATTGTTCTTATCAGGTTAGATATTAAAAAAAATTATTTCGTTCTTTATAATCAACAAGAAAAGATAAACATAAAAAAACGACATTATACGTCACATTCACAAATTCCTTTAAATTTTTATTTTAAATTTTTAGTCTTAAAAACCCAGTGTATTTGCGAGAAGTTAAGATTTACAGGTGTTTAGTTTATCTATTCGGGTCAGTCATATTCTAGGATAAATTTGGAAAAAAAAAAAAAAAAAAGAAAAGAGCTTTAGCCTTTTAAAAAACTTTTTAGTCATGCGACAGAACTGAAAAACACTGGGAAGAAGAAAAGAAAAAAATATGCCCGAATAGTAGGCAGTGAAGGCTGCGTAGTACAAGATAACAATTAAACGACATTACAAGTGAAATAATAAATAAATAAATAAATAACAAAGATCGCTGTGTAAACCGTTTGTTTTGTTTTTGAAGGGGGACCAGACCTATTTAATTAAATTGATAGTCAATTACAACGGTTTTTTTTTAAGTTTTATTTACACAAGATTTTTATTTTGACACAGTAAAATCGTATGTAAGCAAAAACAAAAATGATCAGAAGTAAAATAAAAAGGAACAAAACAGGATTATTATTTAAAAAATAAAATGAATAAGATTCTTATTATAAGAATTTACGGATAACTGTTTGTAAAACCGAACCCAGTCTATTCCTGGCTGGCTGTTTTCATGTCTTTTTTGGTTTGTGAAGCAAAGAAAAAAAGAAAGGAAGTCAAGAAAGAAGGCATATGATGAGGTGCGTGCGCGTACGAACACAATAATTTCAGCGCCAAGGCTGGAATTTTAAGGGGAAAATAGAACCAAGAATATTTTTCAAGTGATAGAGAAAATTGAACTACTTACTTTCTGGTATTTGGTCATTTGCTCCGGGCTAGAAGGCATGATGATGAGTTTTCGTTCGACCCGAAGGTGGAGAGACGAGACCAAGAGGACGGCTTGGAGTGTCACTAACAGAAAGGTTGAAAGCCGAGTAGAAGAAAGGCAGTCAGCGAATGAGAAACGAGAGTACTGTGCTGTGTAATTGAAGTAGTTCTATATGACTGGCTGCTGAACTGATTTTGCTTGTGCCTTAGTCCGGGATTGGTGATGGATCGGAGCCGAGCCTGTTTTTACTTTCCCACCGATGTGTGTATTCCTGTTTTACTGACTTTCTGTTATTCTCTTGCACAGATTCTGTTCAAACTGAGCCTGTGGTAGTCGTTGTAGTAGCGAGAGATAAGTCTCGCAGAAGGAATAGTAGTGAGTGAGAGAGAAGTGTTATCGGGGTGGTTGTTAAAGATTATTGTTATTGGTAGCATTTTTTAGTTAGTAACTGCGATGTTGCAGAGTATATGTGGCGGCTACTAGTTAAGCCGTCACTACTCCTACTGCGCGAAGAACGATCAATCCAGTGGCAAGCGACTATTGTTTGCGCTTATCAGTTTTTTTTATTTTTAAGATCATTTTTTTTTTTAATATTTGACTAAAAAATTAACCATACTAATAATAAATACCTAGAATAAACTACTGAAACACATTTTCAAGACAACCGTATTTTTCTTGGTAAAAATCCTAGTTTTTACGTAAATAATTTGAATTTTTAAATTTTAATTTATCACCTCGCCAAAGTCACTGACCGCCTCATATTTTTTTTTTAATTGAGCTAAAAATCTAGTAAATAACCATATTCACCTATGTATTGGAAATCCAAGATACCTTTTTGAGACTCTAAATAACTTCCACTACTGAAGGATAAAAAACGAACTTTACAAAAACGGAAGGTTTAAAAAAGCTTAAGACTTGTTAAAAAATTGAAATTTGGCTTTCTGATTCGGCTCTTTGATTCTATTTGAATTTGAACAATGTAATGAAAACTTGCTGCGTATATTTGAAGAACACGACGTTAAAACTTTTTTTTTTTTTTTAAAAAAAAAAAGAAAAAAGGAAGACTAGAAAAAAGTAGTCTAGTAGAGATTCCAAATCAAAAATATTTCATTAGATTTTTTTAAAACGCGAATAATTTGAAATTTTGGAAGTTTTGCTTTAAAAATGGGAGGGATATTGTTTAATAAACAAACTTTCTTTTCCGATGAGCCACGACCCGTTCACTACTTTTTGCAAACAAGAACTGTTGTAGTTTTTTACTCAAGAAGTGGATTTATTTTTTAGTCATTTTAGTTTAATTGCTGTTATTAACTAAACCAAATTTTTAATTTTACACTATTTTTACGTTGGTGAAAATTGTACAAAATCGTCTTAATGAAATTATTCAGCCCTTCAACAAAAATTTATTATTACAATGAAATAATAATTAATAATAATAATAATAAATAATAATTAGCTGTTAGTGTTACTGTTAAATTTACAAATGTCATGTTTGTTAATTAAAGTATGTTTTTTAAGCTGTAGCGACTACTTTAACTTTATTCGTTTTTTTTTTGTTGTTTTTTTTTTTTTTTTCTGAAATGAATGCATTGCCATTATTCACTTACCCACTGTTTAAAAAAAAATCGGGGAATTATTCAAATAGAATTTTCGATAGTTATTTTTTAATGAATGGATTGTAATAGATTATGCTTATTTTATTAGAAAACTTTGTGGAAATATTTTTGGGAAGTTAGTTTCACCGCCCCTTTTCGATATCTCGTGTGTACAGTCTGGTGGCATGGTGGGGGGTTACTGCTTAAAAATCACTGAAGATTTTTTTTATTTCAGTAAGAAAATTATGCAATATCCAATGTGAACATAAAATGAAAATTAGTTTTGAACCTTACCAAAAATAATTCAACTAAAAAAAATATAAAATAACTATGCATGCAGCAACTCTAAAAAAGAAAATGTTTTTCCAGAAATAAAAGCTACATACTTATTTTTTTTAAAAATGCTTGTAATTTTTTTTATTGCGATTTTGAAATTCATCCCGTTGCTTTTCGGAAAACAAGTTCTTTTTAAATAAAGACATGTTTGAAGAATCGAAAAATGTAAAAAAGAAGTCTTCAAATACCATTTTCGAGTGTGAACGTTGTTTTTAAAAAGACTTTTTTTCCTTTTAACTGTTATTTTTTGAATCGATGTATAAAAGAAAAAAAGAAAAGTAATCATTCTTTGCCGTATTTGACTGACTAGTCTTCCCTATCGGAAATACGATATGATAATTCAATAACTCTTACATTCAGAATAATTTAAAAAAAGAACTCATTGATTGCAATTTAAGTATTTTAGGCTTGGCTATAAAAGTAAGAAAATAAAAACTGAATTCAAAAGCTGTTAACAAATCAATCATTTCACTAGTTTTAATTTTATAATTAATTTCTTATTTATACTTCTACAAAAAAACTATTGGTTATAAGGTCAAAGATCATTTATTTTTAATAAACATAAATACTGTTGTAGGCATCGAATGATCCCTTTCTTCACAGTTCACACTGTATAGGTGATGGGAATTGAATTATTTGAGGTATTGTTCGGTGAAGGTTGGCTACTAATGTTTTGAACTCATTCTCTGTGCGAGTTATTAGTACATGCAAGAAAGCTCGTTGATAATTAATTAGTTTCTTCCATTGTGTACTGGATCGAAAGTCTTATTGAGTTCACAGGGCCCAACAGTATTTGTACAGCTTCCTGGTGCGACCAGAGTTGGCTTTAGTGGTGCCCTTCATAAAATCTTATAGAATAAAACGTGTTCTTAAACTATTAGTTATATAAGGTTAAAGATAATTTATTTTTAAGCATAAACAATACTAATTTCTTGATTGCTGTAGTCTTGGTCCCCCGTACTTATTTAAATTTTACGCATGCTTTTTTTTATGTGACTGTAGAAGGCTTTCGCTCACGTTATTTTTTTCAGCAGAAAAAAATTATTATTACAAAATCCAGTTAATCCTTAAATTTATTAATTTACTTTTTAAAAAATCTATAGGATAAATATTACATTTTAAAGAAATTTTTTAATTTATTGTTTTGATTATTATTATTTACGGATTACATTTAGGCTATTATCCTACAAATAAAAGTTTAGTATCAAATTCATTTAAATTATTTAAAATGCCTTTTTAAGTGTTTTTTTAATTTTTTTTATTTAGTAAGTCTATGTTATACCTTGCGTTCACCATGTGATGTTTCTATGAATACATTTTTTCCATCTTCTTTTACTGCATACCCTGTGAAACAAAATTATAAGACATGTAATATATTTCCACTTACTCTAGATAAAGTGCTTGCTTTAAGCTGTAAAAATATTTCAGATCTTTTTTTTAAAGCCTCACCAAAATATTAGTCGGTAAGCTGACACTATTTCTTTTAACTTTCTTACTTATACTTTAAAATCACTCACAATCAAACCACACATAGTCTTCATAGTTAAAGAATTAAGAATCAGCAAAGAGCATTCAGATTATCATTATAATCTGAGAATTCTTGAAACCATTTATATTAAGTCTAAGCACTCTCTGTAAAAAGAAGGAATTGCTGCTGGACCAAAATGCGATCTGCCTGCAACTTATACTGCTGATTCTATGGTAATAATAATTCCCTTTTTTTTTTCTTTTCTCTCAGCCATACACATACTTTTTGCCTTCGATTGACTCTGAAGAGCAAGAAGTGATAATCAGTAACTTCATTGATATTTCCTTCTTTTTTTTTTTTGTTATTTCTTTTTTGCTGTTAAATTTTTTCTATTTGCCACTTTACAGCGATTAATTTGAATTTTTTTTATCCTTGCTCTTTAACGCATTAGTTCCTTATTTTTATATATTTTTTGTATATATTTATATGTGTTTTTAAAATGTCTGTTTTTAAGGCTTTGATAACATATTTTTACCACCACAGATTAATTTAATGTAGTGTAGATTTTTGTTTAGGGGTTCATTGTTTGCCCATAGCTGGGGCACTAACAGGTACTACCAATCACAGTTTACCCGGATTCACAGGAGTCCGCTAAATATTGTTAGTGCAACAAATGTACCAGGAGGTATAAAATGATAATACTTTCCATTCTTGCAACAATAAGTCTTAGACCACTTTGCATAAGTCAAATAAATAGAATTTTTTTAATCAAAAAAGAAAACTTTATTGAGTATTCCAAAGAGAAAACATACTAGATTGTTAGTATTTTGTGTGACTTCCTTTAGCTTGAATAATGTCTTCAATCCGTTACAGAGAAAATGTGTACAAATCCTTTAATAATTTCGTGAATATATGATTCCATTCTCTCTGGTTGCTCTCCCATAATTCTTCAACATTACGTGGATTCCTTAAACGAATTCTTCTTTTTAAATTCTGTCCACATTTGCTTGATAATATTTATACCCGGGTTGTTTGCTAGCCAATCTTTTAATACGTTTATATTTTCCACAGCTAGATATTATTGAGTTGCACGTGCTTCATGACATGGAGCTCTGTCAAAAAATCGTCGATATTCAAATTAGGAATCAAGTGGGTTTTTTTTTTTTTTTTTTTTAATCATTTCAGAAGATAGATGGCGATGGATGTTGTATTTAAACTTTTGAAGGTTGTAATCAGAGAAGCAAAGAAACGGAAGAGAGTTACACAGGCGGGAAATGCGAGAAAAGAAACTGTTGGAGTAGAAGTGGCGGTTACATTTACCTAATCAACAGTAAAAGGGTGGGAACTAACTTAAACACATGTAGTCCGGGCACTAGGGGAAAATGCTTGGCAGAGCAGTAGTCATGAAAATTTGTGTAGAAAAGACAGAGGGAAGCCACGTCACGTCGGTGTAAAAGTGACTGAAGTCAAGATGCCAAGTCAGGATCAATTACATTGCCAATCCTTCTTTGGATTTTGTCAAGATGTGAAGATGAGTAGCAGGTGTACCTGACCAGATATGGCAACAGTATCCAATGCACAGACGAATGGTAGATTTGTAGTTATACAAGATGGACTCTGACGAGAAAAACCTAGTACTACACACTTGCGGTAGATGCAGCTATTAATTCGATGTAGTCGTACCACTTCAAGTCAGTTGAAAACACATGACCAAGAAGACGCAGTGTGTTACTTTCCATGAGTCTAGTATCAGCCATGCTGATGGTGGACAGGAAAGTTTCTCTCTGATGGGTAAAAGAGAGCAGTTTCGTTTTAAAGGTATTAAAATTTACGAGCCATTTCCTGCCCAGTTAATCACTGATTGGCGATCCTTTTCAAGAACATCGTCTAAGTTAACTTTGTCAACTCTGACGGATTTGCTATTGAGACAGGAGTAAATGGTAGTGTCTATCAGCATAAATGCCTACTTGGAAACTAATGACAGGGAGATTATTGATGAAGATCAGGAAGTAGGTCGTGAGAGGTAAGATGCTTA